CTTTAATTCTCAAACTATATCATTTCTTTATTTAGAAGTGGTTAACACTGCTGATTGCTATCCGAAAAGCATAAGCAAATGGTACCTCATAAGTATATAAATGATAGGAGAACGATGCAATGAGTGCGGCATATGTTGCAATAATAGGTTCTACGACATCCCAGTCATATTTCCACCATGTCAATCGAGCAAGAAATCCTGCTTGAAATCCCATTGCTGCCAGTGTTAACCATAACATTCGTTGTTCGTGTTTTTTGCAAAATGCATCAATTTCAAATTTCTCCTGAAATTTATTACTCCGAACAAAAAAGAAAACTTTTTAAGATTTTGTTTCCGAATTTTAAGCAACCCATTATTCCAATTCATGGTCGCGATTGTTACTACGACCATACTTTATATATGCTACAACTTGGAGAAATAAATGATTTAATTTAATTAAAATAAATAAGATCTTAAAGATATGCGTCGATTGTCAAGTTTGTAGGCGACAGTACATGTAAGTCATCACGGTGAAAGTGGTAGGGTTTAGTGGAGTTATTAAAACAATGCATACTTAACGTTACACAAAGAAAAACTTCAAAAAATTTGAGAAATAAACAAACCTGAATTAGCGATTTAACTTCCGCCTCCACATTTGCATATTCTTTCATAAGTATTCTTTCCCGCAATGTTTTATACTCTTCCACGTTCATGATAGCGTATAATGATGCTACTGCTAATGTTAAATCGTCAAATTTTTGCATTTCGTCGCCATTCGTCGTGACATCCTTCAAATTCATCACTGTCATAAATTTATTACTGTTATAGAATATTATACAACTTTATTAACGCTATCACTGTTATTGAGCAAATTTTCTCATAGTTGACAATATGCAAATTATTCAAGGTTTAAAATTTTATCCAATCTATCAACACTGATTATAGATTTTGGAATTAAATGAATGATTTGTTTCCTCAATAGAAATGGGATTTAAAGCAATAGTAAAACAGAAAAGTTGTTTTTATAGTTTACACTAGAAATAAGCTAACCTAATTTGTCTCATATGCTTACAAACGTGCTATATATTTTTGTATAGTTATAGATAGATAAGAGTAACAAAATAAAAGCCTCACCGCAGTGGTATCCCTTAAAGACAGTACTTCAACATTATTAATGCGCAATCTAAAATTGCTTCGCATTAATAAGTGCTGCACTAAAGTACTTCCCGAAATTCTATTACCAGCTGAAAATTTTCAAGGTTTACGCAAAAACAAAAAAAAAAGAAATAAGAAAACAGGAACAAAGTAGTCGAGAAACTGGCACTATGGTTCTGCATAAATGTGGGCATGAACAGCAAAGTATGATTTCAAAATCAAAAATTTTAGCCAACAAAACATTGAGTTACTGAGTGTAAATTCTACTTTTTGCGAACGTCCAAACTTACTTGTTGAATAAACATATACAATTTCTATGCCTTTATCTTCGTACTTGATGTTCTTGCAGAACCGAGCTACAGTATCGCTGATAGGTTCTAAAGTGAATTGATACATTTCTTTTCTCGATGGTAATGGTACCTCAATCACTGGCAAATCATTTTGATACCAAATATATAAGTTCCCTTCTCTGATATTATTTGAATACTTTCTGAATTGATGCTGAAAGTTAACCTACATGATTCATCTCATCTTTATTGTGCTCTGCGCTGTGAAACGATATTTCAGTTAGCTAAATCCTAAACGAATTCCTTATGGGGAAAAAAACGAAAAAGCTAGAGGGGAGAGGGGGGAAAGATATCATACAATTAAGATTATTTGTTACACATTGATAACTGTACTTGTAAATAGTTGAAAAATTTAGAGAAACTGTAAAGTTAATGGTACGCTACCTGATGTATACGGTTTTTCATTATTACTTTGTTTTAATTTATCCTTTCTACAACGCTATTACAAATAATGATGCCGTAAAATACTATTATACCACCCTTAACACAGAACCACGTAAACCACCTGAACACGAGAGAATAACATGGAACTAATGACGATGACAGCAAAATAGACCGGTATTAATAATGGAGCAAAAAAAAATGTGAACTGAAACAATTTCGAAAATGAATGATTGGAAAATGGGGGGGTGTGAAAGAAATAGTGTAGTATGAAGAAATAAAAAAAAATCGAAAGATAATCATGCTTAGAGAGATTCAGTGCTATACTATTGAATGAATAGGAATATTTTGACAGACGACAAACGACAATGCAGCTTTTTCAGGATATCTTCCGTACTATATTTTTTGCACTTTATGGCAGGTTCATGTTTGGGTTGCGAGAAGTTTCAGATTAAACTGTCGTGTGGGATGTTGAGTTGGAGTTGAATTCTTAAAAGCTTGTAGTGTTGAGGATATTTCTCGAGATACGGGATACAGAGTCGAGGGTGGAAGTGGATTATGGTGCTGTTGTTAAATTACAGAGTGAAATCCACTTTCTAGCTTTCTGGATAGCATTCTAGAGATAGTATGATGGTTAGACTTTTGTTCTTCTTTCAGGAAGAGATGGATATTTTGAGGGCGGAAATTGAGCGCAAACGAAAGCAAGTTGAAGAAATTACGGTATGTTTATCTGCTTATTTTTTCTTTTTTTTTGAAATTATTCATTTTTAATGAGGTGAAGTGTTTGATGTGTCGTTTCTGTTTGAAATACGATTAGTGGCAGTAGCAATATCTGTCAGAAATATGATGTTATGAGGTTCCGCATAACAAAATTTTGTTGGGTGAAGGTGGATAACTGAAGTAAAAAGAAAAAAAATATATATATGTAAGATTTATGGGTCTTAAATAAATTGTGGCTTTCCATAGATACCAAATAAAAAGTATTTGAAACGAAGCGAATTGCTCCAGAAGGAAGAAGAGAAGAACAGAGAAAATTATCAAGCAAAATACCGAATAGCACCGACTTCTGCAACTGTTGTAAGTTCATATTTCCCACTTTTTGTCACTCTGAAAGCTATGCATAATATCTGATGATTCTTTGACGCTGAGTATCGTTTTATGGTTTTGAACTCTTCGTCGGATTTAGGTTTATAAAGTTGCTTTTTTTGCGGGCTGTTTTTTAATGTTCTTTCTGATAGATGAAAAAAGAAGGCTTAACGCGAATTGAAAATCAACCGAAGGAAATGTACATTGAATCAGAATTAGACTGTGATGATTTGCCACGAACAGACGTTATCAGAAGATTAAGGAGTCGGAGTCAACCGATTACATTGTTTGGTGAAACAGAACAAGAATCTCGATCTCGGCTTCGTAAGCTTGAAATCGAACAAGTAAGTTTTTGGTTATGGCTGCATTTATGTCTGCTATCATCATTTGCTCTCATGGTGTGGTTTCTTTCTTCTTGCACATATTGCATGGAATTACTTCGGTTTACACAAAGTTTTATTTTTGTTATATCATTCATTTGTTGTCTTTATTTTAGCCTGATATGAAAGAAGGATGGAAAAATGATTTCCAGTCGGCTATGAAAGAGGTAGACCATGAACTGATAGAAGAAGTTATTAAAGGAGAACAGTATAATTCTGGTTAGTGTTCCATATCATGTTTCATATGTGAGTCAGATCTTTTGGATTAGGAAATAGTCAGGCTTCAATTAGAAATTATTAGTTTCTTCGAATTTTTGTAAACTTGAAAAGCTAAAAAATTAAATTGGAATTTATCGCTTTAAAGCTTTCTCTGATTATTCATGGTTATTTTTTCGCATAACGTGTAATGGATTTAAACCATTCAAGATTCTTCTCATATATGTTTGCAATTTCGTGTATCTGTGTTTTTACTCCACTGCTTGATTACCTCAGATCACATAAATTACGGCATCATGTTTGTTCACATGTTCGAATTAGTACAGTACAAAACATCCAGGTAAACACGATGTTGATATGCCAAACTCCACAGATGATACTAATTGGGAAAGGATAGAAGCTAATGCTCAGTTACTGGGTGAAGGTGATAATCCGAATAGAGACTGTGATGTTATTCGTGAATTCTTCTCTTACATATTAACTCGGTGGGGTAAGGCACTGAATGCGCGCGACGAAGTTGAAAAAAGGTATGACATTCTTTTTTGATTATAGATTTTACATAATGACGGCAGGCGGATTGGCTTTTCGATTTATTTAAGGCGGTGTAAGACAGTTGTTAGTTCTGCTGACTACCATTTGACGAAGAATAACGTATCTTGAAAGTTAAGTACTAGTTAGTATTTTAACTTTTCAGAAAAGAAAAGTTTTTTTTTGAATACCCTACCTCAATAAAATTTCTAAAAGAATCACTATAAAAATATAGGATTTTTTTAGACCATGTTAGTAATTTTGCTTAAAGATGGAAATTCACATTCCTTTATATTTGTGGCTAACTGGTTGATGAGTTTATCTTGTCTTACTTTGTTTTCCAGAATTTCAGATATTAGGAAAAGGTCAAAATTTCAGATCAGCAGAAGGTAAATTAGCAGCAACGATGCATAAGCAAACAATGGAACATCTTCGTCCATTGATGAAAAATTTGGAGAAGCACAATGTAAATGCTGACATTCGTGAACATCTGATAAAAATTTGTCGTCTCATCATAATTGATCGCGATTATATCCGGTTCGTTTGCTGAAATACGTTGATAGTACAATGAAATAAATTTTAGTTTTGAGGCAATTTTCCCATTTGTTAGAATCTATATATTCAGATTAGTAATTGTTTTCTTACAGAGCAAATAATGCGTATATGGAAATGGCAATAGGTAATGCTCCGTGGCCTGTGGGTGTAACAAGGTCTGGTCTGCATCAACGACCTGGTTCGGCAAAAGCCTACGTTTCAAATATCGCCCATGTACTTAATGATGAGACACAACGAAAATACATACAGGTTTTCACTGAAAATCATTTATAAAACATATTTTTAGAATATTTTAGGTTAGTTTTACTATCATGTAAGAACTGTGTCAGTACTAACAATTTCCGTTTGTTGTGGAATGAGATAATAAAATTTTATTATTCAATTTAAAAAATTAGAAATAAAACATTAAAAAACTTCTGTACTAGAATGATGGGTGGAACTATTAATAAAAGAGTCTTTTATCAGTTAGTATTTAGTAACTATGGAAACTCAATGTGAGCATTTCAGGCCTTTAAAAGAATAATGACTCGATGTCAAAAATATTTTCCAACAGACCCTAGCAAATGTGTGGAATATGTTCGAGAAACAGGGACAGCAGTGCTATGCTGATCTCATCTATTCTGTTTCATATAAATATTTATTGTAAATAAAAATCGTTCATGATATAAATGCATTTGTTATGTACCAAAGAGTTAATTATATACCGACTAGCGATATCTTTGAAGTTTGTGATAAAATGAATTTTAATGAGTTATTTTTTGTTTTATAGATGTTTGTTTTTCTTTTTCATACATTTTTTTTTTACTTTATTTTCCAAAATTGACATTGCATAGTTTCTAATTAGTTGTTTGCTCCACAGTTTGCGCGTTTATGCGAAATGGAAGATGATGTAACACAATTACTTGCACCATATGAATATATGCAGAAGTTACCCGGGAAGCAGTTAAGGAGTCAGTTAGCAAAAGCATTTAATTTTTGGTTGCAAGTCGACATGGAAGTACTGGACTCCATCATGACTGTAGTCGAAATGCTTCACAATGCATCACTTATGTAAGCTTATGTGTTGCTTAGTTATGGGAGGTTGCTGTTTCAAAGTTAATAGTTCCAACTGCTTGAATTCTTTGGAACTGCTCTGGACTTCAGAATTTCCGAATCTTCATTTACAGAAATGTGGTGGAATGTTTGTGTTGTACCGGTTAAAATTACAGGATTGATGATATCGAAGATAGCTCGCTTCTACGGCGTGGATTACCAGTGACGCACAGCATTTATGGGATTCCGCGTACGATCAACACAGCGAATTATGTATATTTCGCAGCACTTTCTAGGTGCATGTTGTTGGGCAAATTTGAAGCTGTGAAGATTTTCACTGGTTCTTATAAGTCTATTTTTTTGTCCATTTGGTTTTATAATTCACTTACCGTTGCAGCTTTAGAAAACAGCTGGAATTTAAATTTGGTAAAGATTTTGAAAACATGGAGAGAATTCGATGCATTTGATCTTGATACAATTTCCCATTTGTTCATCATTCTACGAAGAACGAGAAGCGAGATTCGAAAGGTTTACATGAGAATACTGATATTAAGTAATAGCTCTCATTGTTTAATCCCATAAAATTTAGAACAATTACTGGAATTGCATCGTGGACAAGGAAAAGAATTGTATTGGCGAGATATAGTTCAATGTCCAACCGAGGAACAGTACGAGCAAATGGCGATACAAAGTATGTGTTAGTCGTCAGTTAGGACATAAATTATAAATTTTGTCTCATTGGATTTAACGAACATTGATTTCAATTGCAATAATTCTTTAGAAACAGGTGGTTTATTTGCTCTGACAGTACAGTTGATGGAATTATTTGGAAAAAAGCAATATGATTTTAAATCGCTGATAAGAAATTTGGCCATTTATTTCCAAATCAGGTAATTGTTTCGAGTCCGACTTTTTTGTTTGTATATTTTGTCCTTTTTTTCCGGCTCATTCTTTTTAATTACTTAGATACATATTGCAGAGATGATTACATCAATCTATGTTCCCACTCATATGCAAAACAGAAGACATTTGCTGAAGATCTCACGGAGGGAAAGTTTTCTTTTCCCATTATAATCGCCATTGACAAAAAATACAACGACGACGAAATTATCAGTAATCATCTTGGATATTTCATCAAATCATAATTTGCTTGGCAGCAATCTAACTGTTTGAGGAATATGATTCCAGCTACGTGGGAATCTGTTTCATTAATTTGTGAATAATCTTTCAGATATATTACGTCAAAGGCCTAAAGAAGTGGAAGTTAAGAAGCACTGCATACGAATTATAGAAGAACGAGGTGCGTTCGGGTAAACATTTTCCTATATTACAAGTTTTATTCTCCCATTCATGCATTTCAGTATTTTTCTTTTTTTTAACGATTCTGGAATATCCATTTTAGATATACCTTTAAACGTCTGCAAGAATTACATGACTTGCTGCTTTCACATATCGACACTCTAGGTGGGAATAGAGAATTAGAAAACTTGATCGAAATGTTGCATAAAGATATTCAGCCGACGTGCAATTTTGGGAGTATGAAAATGAGCAATGGTAAATAATGGCAGGCAGGAAAGCTTCCTTCTTTTGACAAGTTTTAAGTGAATATTTGGTCACTCATTATTTGTTGTGTTGTAAATTTATATATATATTTTATTAAAAACTTCATATATATTATTGACGTATTCATATATTTTTTCTGATACACAGGCAAAACAGCTTCTTAAAAAAATGAATTTGAGAAAGTTGGTTCGTTGTCTGTATTACAGTCAGAAGTGCTAAACTTCGCTTCACATTTTAGTTCGCCGTAACACACGTTTTCTATAGTGCCGGGACATTATTTTTTGATTGGATATTACAGGTAGAGCAGTTTTGAGCGACATCACTGTCAAATGAAACAACAAATACAGATTGACACAAAAAATTATAGGAAATTTTTCCTTGGCTCATATTCCAAACCCGGATCAAATTGTTCTAACACATAAACCTAAAAAATAAAAGTTTTGGGAATTGGAGTAGTACATTATTTATGCTTATTTTTCATTGTTGTTTTAATAAAATACCAATATTTGGTATTTAATTGAAACAGTTCTGATGAACATTTCAGATTGCAATATTTTTTACATTTTTGTAGAGGATGGAGATTGGGGTAAAAAAGTTTATAATATGAGCAAACAGAACATACGTAGTCACTTAATAACAATCGTAATTCGGCTGGTGGATTTGTTATGACATATCGTTTATTAGAATCGACCGCCGCTTGATCGTGTAGTCGATACAGCCCTATGCAGAGCTGTCCATGTCTTTTCAGTGCTGTGCTGAACATTTGGCCGTAGGAACTACCCGTCTAAAATCACTTTTTTACATTCATGGTTGAGATTTACATGCATCAAATTCAAATCACTCAAAGAAAAGCAAATCACCGTAATTCCTTCGAACGGTCGATCTTGTAGAGCTAATTGTGAAATTCTGCATCGATCTCGATTATTCAGTGTTTCCGGTGTACTGTATCCCCCTCGTAATCCTGCGCCTTCAGCTAATATTAACTCCATTTCCGGTGTAGCGCCTCCTGTTACCAGTGTTCGAATCAGCGTCAAAGCAGAATCGTTAAAATAAGTCTGCAAGATTGAGGAGAGAAAGTGTCACATTTTTAGCCGTCACTTAGATTTGTTTCTTGCAGCAAATTCTACGTTATTTTTTCGCTATTGCGGAAAGACTTACGGTGCTCATTAGAGAATCCAATACAGATATTGCGAAAGCAGTGCCGCAAGCAAAAGGTTGAGTAAGGTAGAGCTCAGTGTCTGGATCATCATCATCATCCTGATCCAAGAATTGTACATTGGAGTCGTTAACTTTAATGAAACATATTAAGCAACAAAAAATAACTAGCTGATTTCTAGCAAAATCTCTGGCAAAATTTTCTAGCAAATCATGATGAAAAAGTGTCTGATTGTATTTGATCGAATGAAAAATCGCAAAGATTCCAACTACGTATTTCAATTTAAAGTAATAGGGTAATGCTTTACCGAGCTCAGTAATCATTGGTACATTGGTACCAAATCGTGCGCCTTTCTTCTGTAACGATAACGGACTACCAAGCGGCGAAACAGTCCCACCAGTTTGCCGTAACGGATAAAAACCAAGAGTATCATCAAACTGAAAATGAAGTAATGGTTACATCGCTGTTTAGGGTACTTCGAAATTAATTAAAAATAAAGTAAGATCATCAGAAAAGTACAGAAAAAAACTGAATGAGAAGTAAACAACGATTTACATTGCTAAACTGTAAAGGTATCTGTAAAGAAAAGACTTAACCCCCTTAATAATGATATTTATAAGTGATGGAAATGATTGTTTACGATCAGAGATAGTTCAAGGCAGTAAGATGTATAAGTCTCAATACATCCAAAATAATGCATTAAGAACAAACACGCAAACAGATTGAAGTAAATGATTGAATATCCTTTTGTCAGAATATTGACACTTTACTATTAATGTTAAATATATCACTTAGAGTTTATAAATAGTTCAGGTATTTTGATAATGATAGTGAACAATAAACCTGCATAGCCTTGATGTTCAATGATGCTAAAATGGCCTCCTTATCGGCCAGTGTTGGATCTTCATTTGGATTCGGTATACGAGCTGATACAATAACACACATATCACATAAATTTATATTTACTGCGCGCAAATCTGCTCGTGATAATGGCGATCCCTGAAATAATATCTTTTTTTTTCTCCGCTGAATATCGATATGAAATTTGATTAATATTAGAAGTACCAAAGTCCGAATGAGAGATAAAGTAAGAAAGTATAACATTAATTTAATTACATATTCCTAGAATCTAGAGAATGTAACTGGATATTTATTAAGATAATGTATTCCATCTACATATCCTTATCCTATGTTTGTCCTACTTTCGTCATTTTTTTTACTATCACAGGTACAATAAACTCTTGTCAAAATGGGTGATATGACGGTAGTAGTAGGCAAAGCTCATCATCTTCTTTCATCTGCTTTTCAGAGGAAAAAATTAAAATATGGAAGAGGAATGAAGTAAAACGTATATTTAAAATAGAAATCTTCGGTAGATTATACAAGGTTTTCCATTCTCTTTTCAGATACTCCACGTCCCCAACAATAACAACATGTTTCAGTTCATGGTAATGAAAATTTGAGGCACGAAGAGGCATGACAAAATTGCGAAGACCAATTAAAGGTGAATTACGATCGGCGAATAAACAAACAACTACATGTCCGTTCAGTACTGTCATTGCTGCTTGATGCCGATCCTAAAAAACTTGTGTATATACAATAAAAAAAAAGTGTTCTGGAGTGTTTATCCGTACTACTACTTTTTTTTACAATTTTAGCATAGAAAGACAAATTCGAAATTTATGAAAAAAATGTAAGAACAAGATCTTTTCCATTATTCGAATTACTGGATTTCCAGCTTCAATCTGATCCCTTCCTTCATCAAATAACTATCAAACATGTATTTCACGAGTAATTTCACTTACCAAAACACATTCTTCAAGTGTTCTTGCCGGACACCAATGGAACATTCCTGTACTGTCGTATTTCATATCTTGCTGCTCAAATTCTTTGGTGAAATCAATAGGTCGACCTTCTGGAGGTAAACTTAATGAATTCTTCCGGCCAAACGAACGCCTATAATAATAAGTGCTTATCATTATCTTCACTGCATTTCTATTCAAATCATAAAATTATATGATTATTTATCCTATGCTTTCCCTAATTATAATAATTATAATTCATCCATATTTAGATCATTTCTGAAACAAACTCACAATATCAGTCAATCAAATTATTCTACTACTTTAACCTCTCTGATGGCCTTGGTTACTTTGAAATATCTCAAACAGTTTTTTTTTGAGAAATGTTAATTCTGAACTAACCGTTCATCAAGTCTGCGCAATTGTACAGCTGTATCATTTGATGCATTAGACACAGGCGTTGCACGAGCTGAAAATACGAAAAAAAGAGCTCCAAAAAGGAAGAATTTACGAAACAAACAAATTGGTTAAATTGTCCAAATTGTAAGCAATCGAAAACGTTAGCCAGCAAACAAGCAAAGCATTTCTTATTACCAACATCATCCAAAGCGTTTAGGTAGCTGTTTTTCGTATCGTTGTCTGAAACTGTTTGTAGAAACGTCAAGTTTTTCGTTTTCTTTGTAAACAACGAAAACGTATTCTTTCGTTGCTAATTGATTTGCTATTAAATTGACTGTTTAACAAAACAGTGAATTGCTAGTAATATATAAAATAACAGCATTATTTGCTGAAAACTAACCAATTCGTTTGGATAATTGCACTTGTTTTCCTCCTTTTCGGAAAAGAGCTACTGAAAGATGCAAGCTTTCAAAAAAAAAAAAGGACAGTGACCTGTGAAACTGTTTGAAATACTTTTCAGTGATATTTTTATAGTATCTTATGGACATGCTATAGGAAAGGTTATAATTGATCACAACCGTGCTAATAGCAGATGAACGTATCGTAATGAATGATCGATCATTTTAGAAAGTATAAATAATCGTTTTTTTGTTCAAAAAAAATTCAAAAGAAAAACATACAATTCCGACATTTACATTTCTTGATGAGTGATATATCCATAATATCTTCATGACATTGTTTACACCAGTAAAATGCTCTACAATTTCACTTCATTTTTTAAATCTATTTCCAGTAGAATACAACCAAAATAAAAAAGTGAAAATTTCTTAGTAACAGTTACCATACCGTTTGACTTCATCAGCTGATTGAGCTATAAAGAATCCTTGTGTTTGCGGTTGAATTGTTGTCGTTGGAGCTGGATTAATTGCAATGTTGCATTCTTTCTTCTCATCATCTTTGAGTTCAATTGCTAGCAATAATAGGCCCAAACGAGTGAAAAGCAGACTGAAAAAATAAGAGAAGAAAAAGGAATATTCCATTTATGATTTACGCCTTTTACTAAACAAATTAATTACTCGTTTTAAAAAAAAAAACCACAGCAAAACATTCACAGCAAAACAGATTGTCCACAAAAAATAAACATGTTATAATTCATTTTTCTAAATATTTTATTACTTTTCCCAAAATCATAATCGTGGAAATTTCGGAACTTTTAACAAAATTTTCCATAAAACCTTTGTTATATGATGATATTTGTTGAGGTATATCCAAAATTCTTATACATAAGGTAAAAAAAAAATATTGATCCCACTGATTTAAGCAACCACCTTACCCGATTCCAAAATGTATACTTCTTTATTCATTATTAGTGAAAAAGTCATCGTCCTCCATGAAAAAAAATGAATGGTTATAACAAACAGAATCATACACTTGTTCAAATCATAAATATCTGTTCAAGTAAGACGAAACTTTTGTAAGTAATATATAAAGCTAATAGCTAATAGTTATACTATACTTTTGATATAATAATATACTTTTGTAAGTAATATATAAAACTTTTTTTTCTTCTTTCTAATGATAATGTCGAAAATTCTATAACTTAGTAATATATTAACAACATCTAATGGATTTATTTATATTTAATTTCAATTTCATTCATGCTCCTAATTTCAGCTTTAATGGATAGGTTCTTTTAGTTATCTGTGCAAGAAATAATTTCCGCTCAAATAAATGCAAAATCATTTCTTTGTTGTAACAGTATTGTTGTTAATCAGATAATCATTGTATGATGTTAATTGATTTAGAAGTTAAAATATGATCAAGCTGGCAAAAACATTAGCTCAAACGCATTCTCTGTGCTTACTCAGCTGCATCCGGAAACGTCATCCCTACGAAACCGTGTGATAATGTATCTGTATACATTTCCATGCCTGCACCACACAGGTATAAATTTAACCAGTCCGGAGTATTGCGGGACTGAAATTTATCAATCAATGGGTTCTCATTATTAAGCGAAATTTTCTTCGTCATTGTAAAAGAAAAATCTTCTTCACAATGTGAAGATAAAATTTAAAATTCGAGATTTTTCAGTGAAAAATTTTGAATTTAACAATCTGCTTTAGCAAAAACAAATTAATACTTCTTGAGGTAGAAATTTTGCATATTTCACATTTCCACTTTCTAAGACGAATAATAAACAACTATGATGAACAAATACCGCGCAGAACATATATGGACGCAAATAAATTGTTGCACAATACATGGATGAACTTTTAACACACAATTATACGACAAACCATTGTTAAGCATATCATCACGCCTACTATATAATATTTACTTTTTATACATCACCCAAAATATAAATGATCTTTTAAAATTTTTAACCTAGAAAAATTTTGATGACAAATAATTTTAACTTTTAATAACAGAATAAGACTTAAACAATGGAAAGTTAAAGGAAAAACAAACTCGGCAGCCTCCGTGAAAGTCATACCAACACATGAATGGGACAATGACTCGGTGTACATTTCCATACCGGCACCACGTAAGTAATCATTCAACCATGGTGGAGTATGTGGTGACTGAAATTATTTCAATTCATGTTAAAATTTTACTCGAAAAGCGGTTAATTATTAAAGTAGCATAAGTGATAAGTAGATTAAAATTCTCAGATAATGGAAACATCCACATGCTCAAACTGAATGAAAATTCAATTCAAATGGAAGGAAATCAATCGTTAAATACATGCAAGGAGAACAAACGTTAATAACATTGAGGAGTTCAGAATTGGTAACTTCAACATGTGATTGTGAAATTTTATGAAGTTTTAAAGCACTATACTCCAAAATTTAATTAGTCAGCACAACGAGGGAAAACCGGCAAAAAAGAAGTTTTAAAATTACTGGCGTAATGTTGACATAGAATTTGATTATAACGCATCAAGTTTTTAAATCTGAGTGATCGCTTATTTCAGTAAAGCTTTAAGCAAGCCAAAACAATAATGTTGTGAAAAAGACAGTGAAGATTAGAAGCTCGAAAGCTTCTGAATCAAGCAGAACGATTTCACGTCTTGTAATGAATTCGTAGCTCAACTTGATCACATACAGATGATAAAAGTTGGAAAAAATTTTTGATTCTTTCTTTTCTTTTTAAATTACCAATAAAGTGAACCGTTTTGAAGGAACGCATAGCAAATAAATTAGCCATCATTGTTGAAAAGCCAGGCGCAAGACAGGACTGAGCAATAAATCCAAGTTTCAGTTCGGCCAAACAAATAACATCATCACCACGACGCCAATCCCATGAAGGAATATTTAGTAAATAAGCCTAAAACAAAAATTATAAATCTTTTGGATTCAAAATCAACTAACCAAAAATTTAACCATTGGATGGATTAAATGGATAGAACAGCTCAATTGTTTGTATTATGAGATATCATCATTATAACGGATCGATTCTAATGAATTAAATTAGAGAGAACAACAAAGTCGGAAACGAAGTTTTAATGAACAGATAGAAAAAAAAACCTTATTATGATATTGCATCAACTGTACAATGACGCGTATATCTGAGCTGTAATTTTTTATGGAAATAACACGCATAATATTTGCAGCATCCTCTGCATCAGGATCACTGCTGTATTTGTTAGCAAGCACTAAACATGCATCTGCTTCATCAACCTGAATAGGAATTGATTAATTTAGATATTTTCTAAATGATATTTCTCTGATTTCCAAAACGTTTTGGTATGTTGAAATATACGAAAAGTTAAAACAAGCTTACTTTTACACGAGAAAGATCGATGGAATCCATAACTGTTCCACTGAAAAATTCAACTTTTGTGAAATGTCGTTTGAAAAGACCTTCCAATTCAAGATCCGGTGGTACTCTGTAAAAACATCCCTACTTAATAATATAAGTTTACTATTAAAGACAGTCTGTTGAGTTAAAGATATCATTTTTTTATCATAAAAAAACAGTTAAAAATAAAAAACGTTTTATAAAAGTCGAACCTGTGCAAGAATACTACTTCAACGTCGACATCTTCTCGATCTTCGTGAAGGAAATCTTGCAGAAAATGACTAACTGATTCATAAGTTATATAACCACAAACAACAATATGTCTGCAAATATATTACTTCCATTCTTTTTAATTAAACATTCTCTGTAAACTGATTTAAAATTATGAAAATTGAGAATTAACGCAACAATGCGCAACCTATTTTTTGTTTTAGCAAACATTTCAACATTTATTTACTGTACATTGGTATAAATAATTATTTTAAATATCCAAAATTTTCGCTCATAATTTTGAAATAGCAAACAGGCATGTTAACAAGCATTGTATCTAACTTTTTGCCATGCTCGCCTTTATATTCACCTCCGTATTTTTGCCTTGATCCAATCAAATCTGCTATTTCCGGTATATAACTCGCAAACATTGCCTGCAACGTAAAAAATATTAGCACTATTAAAATGCTTGTTAAATTATTCTGATTTTTCTCGTAAAAAATTCAAATATGAAGCATACCAATCCACCAAGAATGAAGAATACCATAAATAGTCTTCCCAAAAATGTTGTACAGTAGATATCACCGTAACCAACTGAAACAATTAATCATATATCACACCACATCATTTTTAACACAATATAGATTCATACTATCCTTCATTTTAATCTGATAATTTTGTTTATTCAAATCAACTACTTAAAAGCTCACAATCATATTTAATTGATCAGTAAAATGCTACTGATGGCTAGTATTCTGAGTCATCATCAAGTGATACCTTACACGGAATAATTGAACAGCCTTAAATAATTTTAATTAAATGATTTTGTTTCGAGTCTTTAATAAAGTTACTTTAAACTTCAAACTTATTCATGCATCAGTTTAAAACAAAATAAAGAAGACTGTATAAATTATCAGTTTCCTTTTTGATTGAACAATTTAGTGACATAATATTAAATATATAACCGACTTATATGTTTTAAATTGAATGTTATCTTTTGAAATCAGTTTTATTTTCATCCTGTCTACTCGCAAAGATTTTCAAATTAACAGCCGAAAATTTAAATAGTAAAAAAGACAAACCAGTGGACATCGTAACCAGTAGGAAATAAACACAATCCCAATAAGTTATTCGATGTGTATTAGCAAAATTTTTGAACGGATCACCACTATTTTCAAGCTGAAATACACATATATTAAATATATAATAATAGTTGAATTAATTTCAGGTTAGAATTATTGATATTGCAAAAGAGTAAACGGAAATTAAACTTTAAATGTATTCCTAAATTAATAATTTTCTTACTACATGAACAAATCCAGCTCCTGTTAAGCAAACAGATATAAAGATTGAAAGAAGTTGCGTGAGACGTATTGATGATGATGTCTTTAGCACATTCAAGTATTGCAAAATATCTGGCACGGTCATTAACCGTAATGCACGCAAAAAACGTAAGCCTGAAATGCATTTTTGATTAAAATTGAAAAAAAAGATCATATTTTTTCCGAACAGTTTTTTTTAACTTTAATTTTGATTTGATCTATATAAAACTTCAAAAATTATTTTTAAAAAAAAGGAAAAACAGCGAAAAAGATATTTACCTAGCCAATTTCTTTCCAAATATATAGCAACAAAGCTGGGTGGTATTGTAAAATAATCGATGAAACTGTAAACTTCCAATAAAAACCATACTTTGTCGGAAGCAGCAATAAACTGTAAAAAAAAAATACTGATATCATTGAACTTGAAAATAATGTCTGTTTATCTGTAATAGAACATGGCTTTATTTTTTTCAAATATTGGCACAATTAATCTATCTAATTCTTCACTGCTACACATTACATTATTCTAATTTAAAATATATAAAAAATTTATTCTAATCAAATAAAAAAGTTGGAATAAGTGATGAGGTTTTAAAAAAACAAACATAAAGTAAACAAACTCTTATAAAAAAATAAATGAGGAAGAAAATATTGAAGCCGAGATCAATTTGTTGTGATGGACTGTCAGACCATGACACACATGTTTCCACTTGAAAATTTGGGCTGAAATTGTGATACATTTTAAAAAATTTATTGAAATTCTTGAATAATAATATTTAAATTATCATTTCCATAGGTTTGTCTCTGTAAGTAATATGGATAGTAAAGCAAAAAAAATATAACAAAAATTTTCACCATCATCTATTCATAACGAACAACGATACATTTTGAAGTGTTAAGTTTTAATATTTTACATTAATTAAAACTTCCACAGCATCCATATTACTTATAGAGACAAATCAATGGAAATGATACAAAACGAGTAATTTATCAAAAAAGGCAAAAATTCATTTTTTTTTTTGCTTTGAAAAAAACGCGGAATTTTTTGATCTACCAATAAGAATTACGAAATCTATCAATTACATACATTTAAAGTCAATATTTATAAATAAGATTTTGTCTAACAACTAGAAAGTGGAAAGACGAAGGAATCGGTTGATAAATGCCATTGTAGAATGTTTTGCGATCAAATATAAGATTAATTTTACAGAAATTTCATTTACCAATTAGAATTAAAATTTATTAATATTTTGTATACAACCGATCATATGATGATGCAAAAAAAGTTTATTAGTGTAAGCTATGCAATAATTTTTTCATTTATTATATTATTATTATTTTGATATTTTTTTCTGCTAATGTCAGCGAAAATAAATTGAAATTTAAAGATAAATTTGTCTTATAGTTGATGCAAATTAATAAGCAAATATTCTTAACAATGAAATATTAGCAGAACTTTCATTCAAATCCGTACAGTTTGGTGCGTTTGTTGAGAAATTTTACAATTTGAGTTTCATTTTTGCGTGATGTGATTTTCATGGTGGATTTATAATTCATTCTGATAACATCCTGTCATAATTGAATTTATTTGTGTAAAAAAAGGAGTAGAAATTAAAATTTACTCAAAAGTTGGAAATAGAAAAAACGAAAATTTTTACTTCTGCTTAATGTAAATATATCATCTAATTTTATTCAGAATTTATCAATTTTCCCATTTTTCGTTAATTTCTTTTTTGATTCAAAGTACCACAGGAAACAAAGAAATCACTAATTACTTCGATAAGTTTTTTTTTTTTTCATTCTCTTCTTTTCCTGTTC